GACAGCCAATAACCAAGCTTGGCTCAATATAGACTCCAAAGATGCCTCAAGAAAACTGGCAATCAGTTCTGGATGGGTTGGTGGGGGTACTTTTTTTTGTCTGCGGCTGCGCGACAACGGTCTGGCGGCGAAGGGCAGTGTCCGGGGCGGGCGGCACAAAGCGAATTGGCGACCCCAACCGCCACGTTGGCAGGCCGGGTCGCACCTGCACAACAAGCGTGCAGTTGCACGTGCGCTGAACAAAATGCTCTGCAGTCAACAGCAGACGCACCTAGGCGCCGCCCAGTATACCAAAGTGTACAAGCGGCCGCGGGTGCGAGCGCAACGGGGTGAGTCGCCCGTGCGGCGCCAAACTCCAAGCAGCCAGCCCGGCTAGCTAAGAAGCACGAGCCCGGGAGACAGGCTGTCGGCGGTGGAAAACAAGAGGCGAAAGACGCGGAAGGCTGAACCACTCAGCGCGCAGCCCTCGAACTCCACCGCTGAGTTGATGTGCCGGCTGCGCCCGTCGCAACGAGTCCGCCGCCTGCGTCGAAAGACCCGGGGTGGATGCGACGATGCGCGGTGGGCTGGCTGTGCCATGCTGCAACGCTCAAAGCGAGGCCTTCGGGCAAGCACCCCCAGTGCTGGTGGGCGCCAGCGACTGCCCGAGCACCGCAGTGCCGTCCTGCTGCGGAGAGGCACAGCGATGCCAGCCGCGGACAACGCAGAGGGTCAGCCCGCGGGGGGGGGGGCCTCCGAGCTGCCTGTCCGACAGGTCACCCGACGTGGCTTCCACGGCCGCCGCGGGCGAACCCCTGAGGCACAGTGGGGGGCGCCCGCCGAGCCGAAGCGGCGGGGGGCGCGCCGTCCCTCGCCGCGGCCAGCCCGCAGCAGCGCCGGGGCGTCTCCTGTGACCTGGTTTGTCCAGTAGTGGGTGCCACCCTCAGAGTGCACCTTGCAATGGAAAAGGGGGGTGCAGCTAGCCGCCGCCAGATACAAGTAACTTGAAAGCAGCTGCACGCCGAGAACATCTGCGCATGAAGGGGGGTGCAGCTAACCGCCGCGGAACACACATACATCGAGGGGGGTGGCAGAACCTCGCCGATGCGGTCTGAGCTGGAGTGCGCCAGCGTCGGACGCGCCTCTTGGGGGGGTTCATATGCCGCAGCCTTGCGCAACGTCGCCGGAGTTGCAAACTAGGCCTAGGCACCGGCCGAGCGACGTGCTGGGGGGCGACTATTTCAGACGACTGCCCCCTGCCGCCGAAAGCGGGCGGCTGTCAAGCTGGACAGCAAAGGAGGGGCGCGCTGGGGGGATGCATCTGCGGCCGTCCCCTTGTCACCGAGAGAGAATGGCCGTCGCCGTGGGGCAGCGAAGCAGGTGGTCCCGGGACCGGTGAGGCCTGCGGGCTATGTCCCCATCTGCTGAGGGGGGTGAGATGTCCAGGCAAGGTCCACTTCTCCAGTGTGGGCTGTCTAGCTACGCTGCGCCAAGGGCGAGATGTGGGGAGACCCCCGCCCCGGCGGGAGTTGCCCTAAGGTATTGCGGCCGAGGCCGGGCGCTGCGAAGTGAAACCGCCCCAGCGGGGAGAGGCGTGGGCGACGTAGGGGGGGGGGGGGGGGGTCGCAGGCGACGGGCCGGGGGCGCAAGGGGCGCGCTGTCAGGCCAGCCCGACCCTGCTAGCCCTGGGCGTACTAGTCCTCCCTGTCCCACCATCGTGCGCGCTTGTCTGTGTGCCGATCGTTTCCCCTGGGGGAGTAGCGCTTACCTTTCCCTTTCCAGTCCGTTTCCGTCCACGGTGCTTTCTGGTGGCTCCAGGAATTCCACTCCTGCCATTCCTGCCACCGGGTGGGGGTGGCAGAGCCGACGGCACCTGCCTAGCGATCCTGCACGGCTGCCGCCCTTTGGCCGCCCTGCCTTCTGCTGTCCATGGGGCGGATCCACTGCTGCTGTCGGGTCCGCGCTGAACGTGGGTTTTGGGTTCGCGTT